GAAAGCAGCAGATCTGTTGCTGTACAAAATACAGTTCTGGGGGTCAACCTGCAAAGTCTCGCTGTACAGTTCAATGGCCAGTTCGAAGTCTCCATTTTTACAGGCTTCATTGCTCTGGCGTACTTTTTCTATGAATTCTTCTTTGCCAAGAATGGAATTTTCAACCACTTTCCCTCCAAAGGATTTGGCTGAGATGCCTGGAGGCTGTAATAAATAAAAAAATATTTAATTGTGTAATGTAATCAGCGTTTATGATGCTGTAGTTTCATTTGATATAATTTAAAGCATACCTGACTTTCACCTATGCAGGAAAGAGCAGTTTAACTTTAATAGCTGCTCCACCATCTGCCTATACTCTACCTATAATTACTCCGACAACACACCATTCAACCAGGAGTTAAAAATATACCATAGGGAAGCATGGGACTTTACACCCCTTCTTCCTACATAAAACCTTAGGAGCTTGGCCACTCAGGTACCTAGTACTGCCATGGGTGAGAAAAGAATCTGTGGAAGCTCCCACTAGACTGCCTGGAGCATACAAGGGGCTTGCACCTCTTTCTCATAGAGCATTGGGAGCAATACAATATAAGACTAGTAAAAACATAGACACAAATAATAGCTACAATATAGACTTAAATGCAGCAGAATAACCTACTATGGTTGAAAGTACATTATTAAAGTGAAACAATAAATAATGATTTTATTTAGTTATTTTTATTGCAATGAATACTAGTTTAAAAAAAACCAAACTTTTTTTTACGTAAGTTACTTATTATTTGTTAAAAATCTTTATTCTGCACATACACATTTAATACAGAGTACTTCCATAATACTGGGTTGGCGAGATATGCTGGACTTTCTGCAGTTCTGCAGTTTTTTACTGCTCCAGCAAAAAAAAAAATCCAGACTGAGGCTACCTTTGCTATGAAAGGAATCTGGTGTATGTCCCTCCATTTACTCACCAATTTGTTAATTTGTTTTATGTAATCTGATATCCAGTTATTGAAGCTTGCCACAACACAGGCTGTTCACAGCACAGTATTAAAAAGTCATGGTGCTAAGGAGGTTCCTGTCATAAATATGTATAACTCTGCCCCAAATTACATCACCAATCTTGTTTCCAAATATCACCCAAATCGTCCTCTTCGCTCTTCCCATGACCTCCTGCTCTCGAGCTCCCTTGTCTCCTCCTCCCAGGCTCGTCTACAGGACTTCTCCAGCGCCTCCCCCATCCTCTGGAACTCTCTAACCCAATCTATGCGACTATCGCCTACTCTGCCCACTTTTAGGCGGTCTCTGAAAACCTATCTCTTCAGGGAAGCCTATCCTGCCTTCAACTAATAACCAAAACTTCTAATTTCTCCTATCAGTTCATCCCCCACAGTTACTACCTTTTATACCACCAGCCCCTCCCTCTTAGAGTGAAAGCTCCCAGGAGCAGGGCCCTCCTAACCCTCTTGTATTGAACTGTATTGTTGCTGTACTGTCTGTCTTTATATTGTAAAGCACAGAGCACACTGTTGGCGCTATATAAATCCTGTATAATAATAATAAAGTAAAATAATCTTCAAAAGTTGATGTTAACCTAACTAAAAGTAAAAGAAAAGTAAAACTAAATGTTATAGTCCTGAACAAGTAAATAAAAAATGCATGCATAATATACTTTCTTTTTAAGCATGGAATATTTTTCATCATCATGATAATTCAGTAGAAGATTGTAACACTCTGTGTAAACACTGATACCATGCAAAACCTGAAAAAAGGTATCATGTATTATTGTGTACAGCACTGGTGCCCAATGAGCAATGGTGATAAAGATGATATGTGCCATATTCTTAGTAAAAATATTTTTCAATCCTTGTAGTCAGTAAAAAGAGTGTCCAACTTTCCAAGCTATTTTACTAGCACCAAATTAAAACCAGTGCCTTCATTAGGAAACAGGCAGCACACCAAAGGTGTATGTCATCATTGGTTTGACATAACTACTACTTAACTTTAAATATAACCTCATAATAGTATATTTTTCTGAGCGTAAGCAAAACAAGCCAAGCAGGCAAAACAAATTCTGACTGAACTCTTGAAAAATACAGGCTTTCAATATATTCCATGAATAGATAGTTTGTCATCTTTAGTTCTTAAAATGTCCAAACATTACATTTCCAATTACTGTTTCACTAAATGGAAATGTATGAATACACTCATTAACTGATGTAAAAATTGAAGAAATTGAGGAATTATTTACACTATTGCAAACATCAACAAACACGTTCCTTGTTTAATTTTCCCACTGAAAATAGATGAGACCTGGTCAGTGTCTAAAAGCAACTACTTCACATTGTAGCAATTTTCTTTGCTTCAGTTTTTTATAGTTTTTATGTTCCTCAGGGTAATTATTAGCATGCAGATCAATAGCAGCAGATAATGAGAGGATTGTCTTTTAGGTGCTTATAGATAATCTCATGGGTATTGATCATCCTTTCTCAACCTTTTCAGCACAGGAATCCTTGAAATAACTTTCTGGTCTCAGAGAACCCCTGTTACAAAATACTATATCTACAGCTCATGATATATTAGTGTGATAGTCATTGGGAAGAATGCTCCCTATGCTTGTGGTAATTGGGAAGAATTCCACCCTTACAGATGTCTAAAAAAGGTCAAAAAAGATCATTGGTGTCAGTGAAAAGTTATATGAGAGAGAGACTGTTACAGCCCTGGCAAACAGACAATACCAGACGCCTCAAAAAACTTAGCCCTGCTCTTGAGCATTTATGGCGTAAGACTAAGACCCCGCAAGACTTCAACCAATATAAATCTGTCCTTCAAAAATACACGGAAGTCCGTGAATGAATTGATGCGGCCGTGTGGGTGTAGCCCCACACAGCCACGCTGTTTTCAAATCTGACAGTACAGGGAGACTTCAAGGGGCAGTGTGCGGCGACTGCGGCTATGGGAACATGTTACATAGTCCACCCTAAAAACGAGTGGAACATGTAACATGTTCCCAAAGGTGAACTTATCCTTTATAGAATAACTTTCGTAACCTTTTCACTTTTGAGCAGCACAGTGGCTAAATGGTTAGCACTTCCGCCTGGCAGTGCTAGGGTCTTTGGTTTGAATCCCAACCACGGCACCACCTGCCTGGAGTTTGCACGCTCTCCTCCTTTACTCCAAAGACATGCTGGAAGGTTAATTGGATCCTGTCTAAATTGACCCTAGTATATGAATGTATGTTAGGGACCTTAGATTGTACGTCTCTTGAGGGTTAGGGACTGATGTGAATGTACAATATATATACAGTCAGGTCCATAAATATTGGGACATCGACACAATTCTAACATGTTTGGCTCTATACACCACCACAATGGATTTGAAATGAAACGAACAAGATGTGCTTTAACTGCAGACTGTCAGCTTTAATTTGAGGGTATTTACATCCAAATCAGGTGTTGGAATTACAACAGTTTGCATATGTGCCTCCCACTTGTTAAGGGACTAAAAGTAATGGGACAGAATAATAATCATAAATCAAACCTTCACTTTTTAATACTTGGTTGCAAATCCTTTGCTGTCAATTACAGCCGGAAGTCTGGAATGCATAGACATCACCAGACACTGGGTTCCATCCCTGGTGATGCTCTGCCAGGCCTCTACTGCAACTGTCTTCGGTTCCTGCTTGTTCTTGGGGCATTTTCCTTTCAGTTTTGTCTTCAGCAAGTGAAATGCATGCTCAATCAGATTCAGGTCAGGTGATTGACTTGGCCATTGCATAACATTCCACTTCTTTCCCTTAAAAAATTCTTTGTTTGCTTTTGCAGTATTCTTTGGGTCATTGTCCATCTGCACTGTGAAGCGGCGTCCAATGAGTTCTGAAGCATTTGGCTGAATAGGAGCAGATAATATTGCCCGAAACACTTCAGAATTCATCCTGCTGCTTTTGTCAGCAGTCACATCATCAATAAATACAAGAGAACCAGTTCCATTGGCAGCCATACATGCCCACGCCATGACACTACCACCACCATACTTCCCTGATGAGGTGGTATGCTTAGGATCATGAGCAGTTCCTTTCCTTCTCCATACTCTTCTCTTCCCATCACTCTGGTACAAGTTGATCTTGGTCTCATCTGTCCATAGGATGTTGTTCCAGAACTGTGAAGGCTTTTTTAGATGTCCTTTGGCAAACTCTAATCTGGCCTTCCTGTTTTTGAGGCTCACCAATGGTTTACATCTTGTGGTGAACCCTCTGTATTCACTCTGGTGAAGTCTTCTCTTGATTGTTTACTTTGACACACATACACCTACCTCATGGAGAGTGTTCTTCATCAGGAAAAGAATTCTTCGGTCATCTACCACAGTTGTTTTCCGTGGACTTCCGGGTCTTTTGGTGTTGCTGAGCTCACCGGTGCATTCCTTCTTTTTAAGAATGTTCCAAACAGTTGTTTTGACCACGCCTAATGTTTTTGCTATCTCTCTGATGGGTTTGTTTTGTTTTTTCAGCCTAATGATGGCTTGCTTCACTGTTAGTGACAGCTCTTTGGATCTCATCTTGAGAGTTGACAGCAACAGATTCCAAATGCAAATAGCACACTTGAAATGAACTCCGGACCTTTTATCTGCTCATTGTAATTGGGATAATGAGGGAATAACACACACTTGGCCATGGAACAGCTGAGAAGCCAATTGTCCCATTACTTTTGGTCCCTTAACAAGTGGGAGGCACATATGCAAACTGTTGTAATTCTGACACCGTTCACCTGAGTTGGATGTAAATACCCTCAAATTAAAGCTGACAGTCTGCAGTTAAAGCACATCTTGTTCGTTTCATTTAAAATCCATTGTGGAGGTGTATAGAGCCAAAAATGTTAGAATTGTGTCGATGTCCCAATATTTATGGACCTGACTGTATATGTGTGTGTGTGTGTAAAGCGCTGCATAACTTAATGGTGCTATACAAATACCTGTAATAAATAAAATAATATGAGGGGAAAAAAAACAGACGCTCATTTGTCCGATATTCTAAATGTGTCTACAGGGCATTACTTAAAACACATTAGCATACAAAGACAGCACATTAAACGCAAATGCACTACTGCAACCAGGGGCGGACTGACCATTTGGAAACTCAGGCACTGCCCGAGGGCCCAGGGTCAGTAGGGGGCCCCATGAGATGCCCCTGGTACCTTTTTCATAGGCTTTTTTGAGTTTGGGCAAGGACACAGGGGCCCCATGATCCCCTATTGCCCGGGGGCCCCATGAGTTGTCAGTCCGCCCCTGACTGCAACTCATTGGTGTAAACTGGTACTAAACAAAAATGTTTGCACACCTGAGCATTGTTGTAAGAGGTGAAGCTGGTTCACAAGCCATCATTTTCCCATCTCCATGACCAGCTAGCCTGTTATGATCACTGCACTAGTGAGTAGATAAGTGTCAGTGCACATGCAAAGACAGGATGATTTTGTGTTTGGAGTAAACAGAAAGATCGCTCAAAAACTTCTAAAAGTTTCCATATAGCTAAAAAAAACCTGTGTAACCCTGTGTTTTCCGCAGCGTTTTGCAGAAAAGCAGTATAGTCCATTTAACATGATTTCCTATGAGACACGTTCACATCTCCGCATTTTCACCCGTTCGTTTTCTGGAAAGGGTCAGGGACTCTTTTGAATGCAAAGAGTTGCGTTTTTTGTTCTATGGACTTCAATGGAAACGCTGCAGAAAAGCATGTAGTGCATTTTTGATGTGTTTTTGATGCATTTTGCATTCTTAATCTGCCTAGCAACAAGAAAAAAAAAAAAACACAAAACGCATCAAAAACAAAAATGCAAAACGTGACGCAAAACACAATGCAGAAATGGCTCAAACACAAACTGTGAACCTAGCCTTATAAATGTTTACTACTGCTCTATGAATGATAATACAAATCTGTGTAATATTCCCCCTGCAAACACAAGACAAATCAGATGGGGTTGGGATGGGATAAGAATGGGAGTGTCGAAGTGGCGGGGAGTTGAACAGCACCAAAGAAAACCAATATAATGGGAAGTTTTGAACATTTCACATAGCATCTGATGTTTGTTCTAATTAGGGCATTCATACTCACATTCAAATGAACACAAACAGCTGAATGTGCAATCACATTTGAAAAGTTGTGAATTCATAACATTTGCTGTATGGCGCAGCAGTTTGTTACAAGACAATTAAATGCTTGTCAACCCCTATGATAGACAGGGAAACATCTGAATGTATCACAAAATCATTATGGTTGGAAAGACGAGGTAACATTAATCACGCTTTGTAATCTCAGTGGAAATTTTAATGAATTAAGTGAGATTATATAAACGCAGAACTGATTGTACAGCTGTACAGATAATCCTCCACACTCCATAGAAGGATTTGTTTTTGGTTATACACCTGAATTTAAAGCTGCAAACAAATCCCAGCACTTAGGAACCTTTGCCACTAATTATTTTCATGTACTGTTTTCCAAAAATGACGACTTCTCAGTACTTGCTTTAGCTGATTAACTGGAAAATATCATTAAACTAGTAAGTGAGGACATGGCGGATGTTTTCTGTATCTTAAAGCGGACCTAGCGTCAGTTATACTTTTGTTAATTGCTTGCATGCCAAGTAATGAGTGTGTATTTAATCATCTCTCACAAAGATCACAGTACTCTCCTTCAACTAATTTTAAGATGCTTCCACCTTTGTTTAGGCATTATCCAGAGTCACCATCTGCTTCCTAGACTGAGGTGCCAACTCAGAGATGGCACAATAATGTATCACAATCCTTTTTGCCTGTGCAGTTCTCGCTGGGCCTGTGCAGTTCTCGATCTGTCTGACACAGATCAGCCCCTGCTGCAGCCTTTTATCTTGTGACTTGGAAAAAAGTAGAATTCTAAATACTGCTGGAGAGGAGACTAAGGAAATGCCTCCTCCTACCTGCAAGGATAGCTTTTAAAAGTGACATTAAGCAAAATCCTTATTACCCAAACATAATAAATATACATCCATTGTTAATAGTCATGGTTTCTGGTTTTCATTAAATTGTTTCTTACCCTAGGTTCACAGCTAAGCGTTTTCCGCAGCATTTTGCAGAAACACACTGCAGTCCATTTAACATGATTTCCTATTATTATCATTATACAGGATTTATATAGTGCCAACAGTTTGCTCAGCGCTTTAATGGGAGACAATACAGTAAACAATACAGTTCAATACAAGAGGGATAGGAGGGCCCTGCTCTATGGAGCTTATAATCTAGGATCCTATGCGACACATTCACATCTATGCGTTTTCACCTGGTTCATTTTTTGGAAAGGGTCAGGGATTTTTTTGGTTTTATAGACGTCAATGGAAACACTGTAGAAAAGCATGTAGTACGTTTTTGCTGCATTTTTTATGCCTTTTGCATTCTAAATCTGCCTAGCAACAAGAAACTTTTATTTAAAAAAAATACAAAACGCATCATAAAAGGCGTAAAAACCGCATGTACAAAACGTAATGTAGAAACGGATCAAACACCAACTACATAGGTGTGGAACTAGCCTTACTGTGTTTTTCTGCCTCCTTGTAATGTCGTCTGTGAGCTCCTGAACCTCCCCTTTTCCTCCCAATTATCATCACCTCCCACCATCATTTGGAATGCACAGCACATGTTAGTTATGGTCATATGCACTGGGTGGCTACACTGCTACATGCAGTGAAACCATGGAGAAAGAACGTAGCCACCCTCTAAAGCAGTGTTTCTCAACTCCAGTCCTCATGGACCCCCAACAGGTCATGTTTTCAGGATTTCCCTCAGATGAAACAGCTGTGGTAATTACTAAGGCAGTGAAACTGATCAAATCACCTGTGCAAAATAATGGAAATCCTGAAAACATGACCTGTTGGGGGTCCATGAGGACTGGAGTTGAGAAACACTGCTCTAAAGGAAGTTGTATGACAGCTGCAAAAAAAAAAACCCCAAAACATTGGAGGAGCAGAAGAAAAAAAAATTAGATATGTAGGAGGCTGAGAACAACGGCAGTTACTTTTTTGAGTTAAGAATACACACTTGAATTGTTTTTTTTTATAATCCGAGTTTAGTGTTATTTTAATAATTAAAGGTCCAGCTTACATAAAAAACACTGTTGCTGTATATTGTGACATGCCAGGATCTTATTTATGTAGACTTGTGAAGTTACTCAAAATTCAGCTTTGAAGTCTACAAAAATGGTATAAAGATACACTAAAGCCCCTTTCACATGGGCCTTCTGATCAGGTCAGTTTTTCAGTGTCTTGTGTCTTTTTACACCCATCTACCTCCGGGTCCATACAGATTTGGGAAAAATAGGACTGTGCAGCATTTTTGTGGACCGGATTGGAGGTAGCATGATGTAAACAGAGAGCAGAGTCCATTTACGCCGCCCATATACCTGACAGGTTTTCCCTCAGCTTTGTAGAAACTGAGCAACTGAGTCTCCAATCAGTAGACAATCTGCTCACAGATCCCCTGATGATTGGAATTGTCTGCACTCCATGTGAAAGGAACCTAAAGCTGGGTACTGGATGACTTTTGGTACAAGTGTTTCATGCAGGAAAAAGGTTCCTGCGCCTTTTTTTTTAAAATGCAGCCACAGGGAAATCGTATGATCTTTTGGAACAGAGCCCTGAGATAACATTATACCCAGGAACAGAGCCCTGAGGAAGAACTTTGGGCTGGAAGTAAAAATTGCTGGAAATAGACTTCACAGACTAGTATGTATTTTTTTATTTACATACAGGAACAATTACCAAGAAAGGGTGGCACTCTTCTGTAAGGGTCACGTTGATAGTCTTTTGATGGACCATTTGAGCTTTGTCTGTATCATACTGTACTGTTTTGCCCAGGGCATCACAACCCAAGGTATTTTACTAGGACATGTAGGTAGGAATCCTTAAAAGCAGCAGTTGGGGGGGAGGGCTGTTGAGCACAGCCCAAAGCAGATGGGACTTGTACAACCAATCAATAAATAAATGTCAAAGCATGCTTCTTTTCATATCTTATACCAGAATCAAACAACAGGGAAGGAAAACCAACAGGACTTAAAATAGTGGAATGCTTTGGATATTTCCTGGCACCAATGTTTTAGGGGACCACAACCCAAATTTTTAGAGTTAATTAATGTAAAATATAGTATCTCACAGAAGTGAGTACACACCCTCACATTTTGTAAATATTTTAATATATCTTTTTATGTGAAAACACTGAAAAAATTACACTTTGCTACAATGTAAAGTAGAGAGTGTACACAGCTTGTATAACAGTGTAAATTTGCTGTCCCCTCAACATAACACAACACACAGCCATTAATGTCTAAACCGCTGGCAACAAAAGTGAGTACACCCCTAAGTGAAAATGTCCAAATTGGGCCCAAAGTGTCAATATTTTGTGTGGCCACCATTATTTTCCAGCACTGCCTTGGGCATGGAGTTCACCAGAGCTTCACAGGTTGCCACTGGAGTCCTCTTCCACTCCTCCATGATGACATCACGGAGCTGGTGGATGTTAGAGACCTTGCGCTGCTCCACCTTCCATTTGTGGATGCCACACAGATGCTCAATAGGGTTTAGGTCTGGAGACATGCTTGGCCAGTCCATCACCTTTACCCTCAGCTTTTTTAGCAAGGTAATGGTCATCTTTGAGGTGTGTTTGGGGTCGTTATGTTGGAATACTGCCCTGCGGTCCAGTCTCCGAAAGAAGGGGATCATGCTCTGCTTCAGTATGTCACAGTACATGTTGGCCTTCATAGTTCCCTACAATGTAAAGTAGTGAGTGTACAGCTTGTATAGCAGTGTAAATTTGCTGCCCTCAGAATAACTCAACACACAGCCATTAATGTCTAAACTGCTGGCAACAAAAGTGAGTACACCCCTAAGTGAAAATGTCCAAATTGGGCCCAATTAGCCATTTTCCCTCCCCGGTGTCATGTGATTCATTAGTGTTACAAGGACTCCAGTGGCAACCTGTGAAGCTCTGGTGAACGCCATGCCCAAGGCAGTGCTGGAAAATAATGGTGGCCACACAAAATATTGACACTTTGAGCCCAATTTGGACATTTTCACTTATGGGTGTACTCACTTTTGTTGCCAGCAGTTTAGACATTAATTGCTGTGTGTTGAGTTATTTTGAGGGCAGCAAATTTACACTGCTATACCAGCTGTACACTCATTACTTTACATTGTAGCAAAGTATCATTTCTTTAGTGTTGTCACATGAAAAGACATAAAATATTTACAAAAATGTGAGGGATGTACTCACTTCTGTGAGATACTGTACCTCAAACAGTGAGCAAGTTCGCTCAGAGCTATGCTTTAAAGACTTTATCTCCTAGATTGTAAGCTCTAATGAGCAGGGCCCTCTGATTCCTCTTGTACCAAAATTGTCTTGTAATTGTAATATCTACCTTCATTTTGTAAAGCGCTGCGCAAACTGTTGGAGATTTATAAATCCCGTATAATAATAATAATTTTATATTTGTTAATCCCACAGGGTTTTTCTATAAATTCTTTTCTTCAGCTGCGTTCTCATGAGAAAAACTGAGATAACATTATACCTAGGCGCATAGCCAGCTGTGACCTTGAGCGCCTACTAAGACATAGAAGTGTATTGTCCAGCCAACTGGCACGTGATCTAATTCCTATCTATAAGCTGTACTAAAGCCGTTGTAACATTCTCAATAGACAAGAGATCTTTATTGCAACAATTCTGTGTGTGTGTTTTCTCTTCCTGTGCACAGTAAGGGGTTAATATATTTTTCACAGTAAATACAGACTGCTTTTAACGTTAACAACAGTATGTTCGACAAAGTTGTATTTAGTTAAAAATCATTTATAACTTATACCATTGATAATACCCTGTACTCATGCAAGCATTGCATGTAGTCATGCCATGCAGAATATACCGTATAAAGCTGCATCTGGGGCCATCCTAATGTACAGAGTCCTATTTATTGTCCATTTCTGGCTTACAATTTAGGGCTATTATGGTGTCAAATCTAACATGCAATCATTTTAGATGACAGTAGCAATTTCCATTAGGCAAAGTGAATATTTCTAAATGATTGGTTTGCCTTTTTTGAAAAGAAGTGACTTCCAAAATTCTAGCCTATATTTCCAGAGAACGTATTCCATTTACATCACACCTATCTATATATGTATGTAATCTATTCTAAAACAGCATTTTCTCTATGCTCAAGTGACTAAATAGTCGGAAAATGTGTAAGATACTAAAAAAAAGAAAAAGAGCTTTAGTTAGTGATCCTTCAGGAGATTTAATGTATGTATATTGTGCTTCAGCCTCAATACAACCGTTCTGCATAGATTGCATTTACTGTATTTCCTTCCAGCTGTACCTCATGCTCATTTCTTGCTTCAAGAGAGACTAATGCTATAATTTTTATTTTACAGTGAGGACTTTTACATTTCACTCTGTAAGAAATTGGCTACAATGTGTCTTGCCAATTATTTGTGTAATGATGAATATAAATTACATGCAAGCAAACAACCATCTCAATGTGTTTTGATGATCTGAAAAATTTGCTCATGTGTACAGCTTTTATCTCTGGATTTACGTGTTGGCAGGCAAATCTGCACGTTTCACATACGGGGACAGACTGACCATTTTGGAACTCGGGCACTGTCCGAGGGCCCGGGGTCAGCAGGGGGCCCCATGATATGACCCTGGTACCTTTCATAGGCTTTTTTGGGTGTAGTTTGAGTGTGGGCGAGGACATAGGGGCCCCATGATCCCCTATTGCCTGGAGGCCCCATGAGTTGTCAGTCCACCCCTGTTCACATACCTTCTATGCTTCCCACTTGGAGAAGAGCACATGAACAGGGGTTTACTGGTATTTACTTTATCTTGTACCATCCTATGGGTAAAGATATGCCCAGAAATGTTTATATCAGGTAATATGTTCCTTTTACAAAATGGTAAACTGCCCAATTAATCCCAATAATGGTTAAAATAAAAGGTAAAAGAGCATTAGGTTGCCCATACAAAAACTGAAGGGTCAGTGTATTTAGCTATCATTTAGGTTAAGGAATATATATGAATGACTATTAAGCCATTCATGTGACCCTACTGTAAATGTAGCAGGACACACAGGGGTAACCTCATACTACCAGTAAACCATTTCTGTACAGCATCTTCAGCTTAGGGCAGTAAGCATGGCTTGACTACAAACTTTTATATAGGGTTCCCAGAGTTCCCACTTCTCTAACTGTGATAACAGGGAGACAGCATCAGCCCCTTGTGAACTCCAGGCAAGGCCCAAATTTGCCCGACCAGATTATAATCCCACTATGAAGCCCACACTCTTTGCCAACATCTGTTCCTTTGTCAACACACACCGATTTGTGATACAAAGAACTGCCCCAGGAAGAAATAACAGTCCAGGCTGGAATTGCATATTTAAAAAGATAAACACTTTACTGTACATTTCCAATAACTTTCAACATCTACAGAAGCATCTGCTACTTTTCAGCTACTTCTGCAGCTCATACTCTTGTAAGGTTCCACACAATAAAGCTCTTCTGGAGAGACTAACGTCCTCATATAAGATTCCTGCTACATATTCTTCCCAAATAAGGGGTGCCGTGTCTTTCTTCCTTTCTCCATAGGGAGTAGTCCAGATGAGTCCCCATGGGGAACGTGTAACCCAGCTCCGAGTTCACTCACATTTTGTCTTCTGTGCAAGCCCCATGTGTAAAATGGAGTTCTACTTCAATCTCATTCCAGCTACCCAACCATCATAGGCCCCTCCTACAATCTTTTATATACCCCTCAGTAAGCAAGTATGAGTGGCAGGGAATACTGTTCAGCAACCCTCTCAGCAGGAATATCTGTAAAGTGGTTCTGTATCAAAGGAACAAGAATGTGTAGAGACCTGAATGGCAATTTGGTGCTGGAGAAAGATTTTAGGCATGCCATGGACAGCCCAAAGAAATGATAGATCAATTTATGAAGAGATCAAACCGGGTATGTCACTAGAAGACCAAATGATGAAGTTACAGCTGTCCTATTTTGGTCACATTGTCAAAAAAGAGAGGTCACTGGAGAAGGAAATAATGTTTTGGAAGATCGAAGGAACTAGGCAAAGAAGGAAACCGGCTGCTAGATGGTTAGACACATTGACCATAGCTGTGGAGATGACACTGGAAGATCTTGCAAGACTAGCACAAAGTTAACTTCTCTTTAGACATCTCATCCATCAAGTCACTAGGACTTGGACCCAAGTGAATGGCACCTAACATAAGGGAATTCAAAGTAAATCCTACTATGTGAATAACAATAGGACCCTACACTACCACTCCTGTCAGAAAGCAGATGCAGGTCCCTAGATCTTCACTGCAAAGGTAACACAGCTTGATCCAGGACAATCAGCTATCTGAGTGGACAGTGATGGAGTAGCAGCACACTGATGAGCTCTTCCCTCCACCGATCCTGATTTCTCTGCTAGTAAGCGCGTTCCTTGTCAGCACATGTGCAATGCAGGAGAGCCTGATTGGTTCATAGTGATAGCTTTCCTTTTCCCAGTACAGAGTGCTGCTTTGTAGTAGAAAACATGAGGCTGATGACAGAAGAATGCTATCAAGACAGGTACCTAACAATAGTGCAATTAAAAATAAATCTGCCTGGATTTCAGGCTTTAAGTGAACTTTGCACATTCTGGCCAGTCCACACTATAGCTTATACTTAAATTACCTTTTCTGTTTGCTGTTCTCTTTGCTGCCAGGCGTGAGGATAAGAGGATAAGAGGTCTTCTGTTAGCTTTAAAGTGTTACTAAACCCACAACAGTAAAATCAGTCTGTATATGCAGTAAAGCATGCTTGTTATACTCATTGTGGAAGCTAAGGGGTTAATCCGCTGCATTGTGTAAAAACGCTGTTTGATCCTGACTTCTCTGATCCTCCTCTTCTTCCAGTGTCTACCTCCCAAGACATATTGTGTGGAGACACTCTGCACATGCTCAGTTTGGTGTGTATTGCTAGAGAGGTTTTTTTTTTTTCTTGGGAGAGTGCATGTGATCAGCACAGGGCCAATCAGCACTGTCCAGACAGAGGTCAGGGGTTTTGCATCCTCCTAAAGCAAAAAGAAAACTCCTCCTACAAGCTTAACCAGTGTTCTGCTGGACACAGATAGAAGTCACAAGACGAATCTAACTGTTGATCATAAAAGGCATTTAGCAGTTTGTATTTACTAAAATAATTGCATTTCCATGTTCTGCGTACTGTTGGAGACCAGATAGAGTGAATGCAGGGTCCTGGGTTTAGTAACACTTTAAGAAAATCTTTGAGCTAATACAGGGAAAAGGACCAGTATTGTTACTTCCCCTGCACCCCAAAGTACCCATACTTTATGTTCTCTCCTGGCATTGGAATCATGCAGTGGGACAGCAAAGCAAAGGTAAGTGCTACAAAATCCAACATTAAAGCCCTGCGGGGCAAGGTACAGATACACTTAAAGTCAATTTCCACTTTTGTAGCCAGATTTGGATAACACCTGCTTTATATGTGTTACATTAACATAGCATAATTTAGAAGGATATTATATAAATAAATGCTGGTTACCTTTTTAAGTGTTTTGACTTGCTTGAAAAGCCTTACATGCTCTTCTCTTACATTCCCTGCTGTGTAATGTTTAGGAGGGGACTGTGGAGTAATAATTAACATGATTAACCTCAACTGTATTGTGTTCACAATTCTTCATAATCAGCTGTAAACTAGATTTGAACATTGTGTCTTGACAAAGGGATACAAATGTATAGATCATCCTCCTGCATTGTATGTTAATGAGGTACAGTATAGCTCACTCTGTGTGGGGACAAAGACACTGTGAGAATGTCCAGAAATTCATAGAATCAGCCATGACACCACCTTAGAAACATATCATGTACAATGGGCTCAATAACACAATTTTTACAAGTGTTTGGCGTTTTTTTTCCAGCCCATAAAAGCACCTCTATGTAAGCCTTTCTGTCCATGCATTTAGAGGCATATTAGCCGCTTCCCGACCACCCTATAGCAGAAATACTGATACAGGGCGGCACGGGTGTGCAAAATCATGTATATATAAGTAATTTTGCATTTCTGGGTAGGGATTGCGCGTGAGCCGTGTGCGAGCCCTCCCCACGCTGCCATTCACGGCCTCGGCTGTCAATCACCAGATCTCTCGCCAGCGCCTGGTGATTACCGAGGATCTGTGATGGGGAGGAGGACTTTTTTGTTTACTAACAGTTCTCCTCCCTGTCAGCTCGGGCACACTGCTTTGGATGGCTGTGCACAGCACAACAACCCAAAGCAATGTGCTTACAGTGAAGCACATTGACACGGCCCCCTAGTAAAACACCCCCTGCAAACAGTTAACCCTTTGATCACCCCTCATGTTAACCCCATCCTGCCCAGTACCATTAGTTCAGTGTAAGTGCTATCTATATTGCCATTTGTAAATGCTATGACTTTCACATAAACCAATTAATTTACACCTATTGGGATTTTTTTTTAGCAAAGACATGTAGCAGAATACATTTTGGCATAAATTTATGAAGAAATTAGATTTTTTGAATTGTTTTACTGGACATGTTTACTAGCAAAAAGTCAAAAATGCTGTTTGTTCTCAAAATTGTTGGCCTTTTTTTTTATAGTGCAAAAAATTAAAAGCGCACAGGCGATCAAATACCACCAAAAGAAAGCTCAATTCGTGGGAAAAAAGGAGGTAAACTTAATTTGGGAGCAGCATTGCATAACTGCGCAATCATCAGTTAAAGTAATGCAGCGCCGTTACGCAAAAAATGGCCTGGTCAGGAAGAGGAGTAAATCCTCAGGAGGGCAAGTGGTTAGAAGAGGAGCATTTACAGGATAAAAAGTGACATTCAGTAGAGGAGTGGAAGAGCAGAATAATTGCTAACAGGCATAAAAGCGTGTAAACGTGTCTAAATGAACCCGAATGCTAGATGTGTCTAGCGTTTGAGCATTAATGCATTCCAGTAGCCAGAATAAATAAATATTCTTGCCAACGGAATCCATTATCATCAAACACTTGACATGCCTAGACGTGCCTAAACGTGTGTGCAATATGCTGCTTTTACCATGTTTTTTAAGCAGCTTTTCTCTTGCCAGGAGTTCAGGCATTCAGAGGGGCTAAACAGACACCCTGTGTGCATGAAGCCTAAAAGGTACGAAACATTTTTAAATTTTTTTTAATATGCTATGGGAATACATAAAAAACATATAGCAGGGTTTTCTCAAATGTGACTGTAAAAGTGGAAATACCCTTTAATTATGTGCTTTCATATGAATAGCAGCAGAAGGAACAGCTCTCCTGCTGGCCTATAGTACTGTTGGACCTCTATAGGGAATGAATGAGGTTGTCCTGCACTGCTTGTGCAACATCTATAGATCTCAACAGGACACCCAATGAAGAATGGGCATGAGCAGAAAACTATCCTTCACAATAGATTTGCCATATTTTTAGAAACGGTTGCCGCAATGGCATACAATCCCCTTTGGAATCCTGTCTACAAACAACATTTCCTAATAACCTCTTTTCAGAGAAAACAGTCTTATCTATGTAAGTAGTTTGCGCAGTGATATCATCAACTTTAAAATGGACTGCTAAAACAGATTATATGCATTTGATTCCACTGAGATTCTTGCTAAATAGATACTTATATTTATCAGCTAATCTCAGTGTAATAACTTTACACACTTGGGATGAAGGGCGGCATACATAAAATAGACACTATTAGATATGAGGATTACAATTTCT